CACGTGCACCCGCACGTGCCCCCAGCCCCCCCGGCACCGGGACACAGAAGCGGCGGCACCGCCCCGGTGCTGGCTGCCTGGCTGGCACCCGCGCGCGGCTACTGCCAGAAAAGGGGCGGGTCGTGTTCATTGTTTCCAAGAATCTGCTTTTTAACATCCCCGTGGTTAACAACAAAGCTGGTCTGTGCTGAGAAACCAACAACTTCAGGATGTTTGGTACATAAGGCAAAAGTCACATGCGGTGCCAGCAGGAGATGCACAACACAAGGGCAAATACACAAGCAGGAGACACACACCATGAGAGCAATACACAGGCAGAAGATGCACAACACAAGGGCAATATACAAGCACACTTAACACAAGAGCAATATGCAATGCAAGGAGGAGATACACAGGAGCAATACACAGGCAGAAGATGCACAACACAAGGGCAATATACAAGCACACTTAACACAAGAGCAATATGCAATGCAAGGAGGAGATACACAGGAGCAATACACAGGCAGAAGACACACAACACGAGCAATACACAAGCAGAAGATGCAGAAGAGCAACACACAAGCAGAAGACACACAACCCAAGAGCAACATACAAGCAGAAGGTACACAACACAAGAGCAATACACAAGCAGAAGACACACAACACGAGCAATACACAAGCAGAAGATGCAGAAGAGCAACACACAAGCAGAAGACACACAACCCAAGCAATACGCAATGCAAGCAGGAGATGCACAACACAAGGGTAAATACACAAGCAGGAGACACACAACACGAGCAACACACAAGCAGAAGATGCACAACACAAGGGCAATATACAAGCAGGAGATACTTAACACAAGAGCAATATGCAATGCAAGCAGAAGATACACAGGAGCAATACACAAGCAGAAGATGCACGAGAGCAATATCCAAGCAGTAGATACACACCACAAGAGCAACATACAAGCAGAAGATACACAACACAAGGGCAATATACAAGCAGAAGATGCACAAGAGCAATATACAAGCAGAAGGTACACAACACAAGAGCAATACACAAGCAGAAGACACACAGGAGCAACATACAAGCAGGAGATACACAACACAAGAGCGATATCCAAGCAGGAGATAACACAAGAGCAATACGCAATACAAGAGCAATATATGAGCAGAACATACACAGCACACGAGCAATATACAAGCAGAAGACACAACACGAGCAACATGCAATGCAAGCAGAAGATGCACAAGAGCAATACACAAGCAGAAGATGCACAACCCAAGAGCAACATACAAGCAGAAGACACAACCCAAGAGCAATGCACAAGCAGAAGACACAACCTAAGACCAATGTACAAGCAGAAGATACAACACAAGAGCAATGCACAAGCAGAAGACACAACCTAAGAACAACGTACAAGCAGAAGACACAACCCAAGAGCAATGCACAAGCAGAAGACACAACCCAAGAGCAATGCACAAGCAGAAGATACAACACAAGAGCAATGCACAAGCAGAAGACACAACCTAAGAACAACGTACAAGCAGAAGATACAACTCTTGTCACGCCACACAAAACCAAAACCAGGCAGCACCAGCAAAGACACTCTCCACAAAGCATTATTCTGCACTCTATGACTCCCACATTGCTCCACAAAACATCACCCTTCCTCCTGCCCACGTTCACACCACCAGGTGAACGCACATCACGTGAAGGAGCGGGAGGAAATAAAAAAAGAAACGGCTGCGCCGCCCGGGAATCGAACCCGGGTCGCAAGAATGGGAATCTTGCATGATCCCACTACACCAGCGGCGCCTTGCCTGACCCCCGCGCTGCCCGCACTATGAGGCTGCACCGCCCGCC